ATGTTCAAAACTTTACATGAAATCCTTTTGAGCATAAAATTCCGAGATATGAAAGAGATTTCAATATTAAAAAAAAAAAAATAAACAACTATTGTCGCTATCACTTTCATCTTCGAACTCGGTTCAAAAGACACTTGAGTGAATTTTTCAAGCCATCCAGGATTTGATTCAAATCAATTTTTTTTCAATCATCGTCAAAATCCGAAATTTCAAAAAAAAATTGAAAAATTGAAAAAAAAAATTATACTAATCGAAAAGAATTCGAATTAATGTCGATGGATAGAGCTCGATAGTGACTACATTAAAAAAAAAAGTTACTTGATTGCAGGCATCAAGTCGCGCGCAATTCAAAAAATTTTTTTTTAATTGAAAAAAACGTTTGTCACATACATACACACATACATACATACGTACGGACAGGGTTTAAAAATTGCATTTTCGAACTTTTTGGACCATAATGGATTAATCCAACACAAAAAAACAAAAACTTATTTCTGCAGGATTACAATGCTCCCGTTTCCGGAGCAAAAACCATTAACTCTCAAACGTTGAAAACCAATGTACAATGACCGGCTAGCGAATTACAAACAATTCTGAATGGTAATTTACTTAAAAAATATTTTTTGTCGGCTAATTGGATACTGCTGTTTTAAAGACACTCTAGAGGGGGCCAGGGTGTTTCCCACAACATAATTGAAAGTTCATTAATTTCTTAATGTAGGTCATTTAAAGATGCATTGTAGAGTATTGTTACTTGGTTAATTCACTTTGGTAGGCAACAATTTTTTTATTAATCAAAAACATTTTAAAGAAAAAGTTAGCATCCCATTTGTTATTTTTCAATTGAAGGCCACAATAAACCTTGTCAATCAATTCAAAATCGATAATAGATTTTATGCCATCGGTGCCTGTAATCACGCGATTCTAACCTCGCTTCGCTCGGTGAAATCGCGGATTCCGGGCGCAATGACATAAAATTTTGTATGAAACGCGTGCGTAATATACTAATATATAGTCCAATATCATTAGTCTATGACTCATTGTTTATGGGATATTAATTACGGAATACGTATATAATACGAATACGAATAATATGGGCAATAATCGCGCTATAATCTCTGACTATTCTGACAAACGAGTGCGCATGCGCATGATCACCCAACGCTACACGCGCCGAGTTATTCATAGTACGGTAATTTTCATCTAATGTCAATCATTGTCATTTTCAATTTAAGGAAGATCATCACCCATTTTTTAAGTGACAAAAAGTAGATAGTCGATAATATACCGGGGAGATAGATGATTAGTGGTTTATTTTTATTATATAAATCATCAAGGGATAGGTTTCAGGACAGCGATGAATTAATGGACTGTTCAACTATTATGCTAATTACTCTCCTACTGAATGTATTCAGTAAAAAGTTACGCAGAAAACTGATCCTTTATTAATTTACGAATCCATTGATGCTTTTTGGAGTGGATTTTTATTCAATGCATTAACATTTTAAGCGTTGGCCATTAACTCATTAGCGAACTCATTCCTGTTCCATAACGCATCCCTCCACGGTAGTAGTTCAAATAATGGTTTGTCGAAGTTTCATCGAGATATCCGATAAGACTAGCCTCTCTCTATTTTCCTTCCATCAGTTGTCGCTCCTATTGGGGGTGGACTAAGAGGGAGGATTAGTAATACTATCAAAAATTCATTACTCTTCGACATGTTTTGTGCAATTGATGGAGCTGTCAGTGATAGTATGAATGAAACAATTTCATAACGAACCAACTCCACCCGATTGCAGTATAATTCGGTTTTCCAATTGAGTGGTTTATCACATGATGAGTTGATAAAAATTTAACTGAATATAAAGACTATTTAGATACATTTCCATGTATTCGAATAAATATTATAATGAGGAAAAAAAGTGGAAACAATAAAATCTGAGAAACAAAAATCTATTCGGAAGCTTGTTGCTAATTTGTTAGCAATAATAGCTATACGCAGTTCCTTATTACCTGAAGGTAATAATTTAATTTTTTTTGTTATTAACAAACTGCATCTAATGTTATACTTTTCTTCTCCCAAATCTTAACCCAAATTCTAAATTACAATTTTCCTCGATTTATTTCAATCTTTGCCAATCATACAACAACCTATTGATTTTCAGAAATAATTACTAAATTTTTTTTTTGTAAGTTATAAGATTTGTGAATTTTTTAAAATCATTTTCGAATTATTTGCACATTAAGTATATTGACGTCTAATTGAGTATGTACCTAATGGGAAGGTGACCAGCTTTGTTGTTGAGCTTAAGCTAACAATAAAATGTAAGTACTGTATTTTTTAATAATGAAAAAGAAAAATTGAGTCTCAATATATTAGAATGCCGTACCAGCCAATGGAATTGTGCCATTTGTGAGTATGAATCTACTCATGGGGTTTTCATTGGCCGATTTTATGCATCCAACTACTTGCAAAAATAATTAACTCATTATTTTGTAAATTATGATATTTTATTTAGGAGCTTTTCCAATTATTTCATTGATGTTTTCGCGTAAATACAGCGTTTGTTCATCAAGTAGATCTACTGCAGTACAGATAATACAATTTATTATTATATAACTGAGCGCAAAATGAACTGAACAAAATTTTGTTGCTTATTCTAAGCCACGATAACATGGAAATTTCATATTTATTTTCTATTAAAATACTAGAATATGCTCTGAATATATTATACTACTAGAATACTGCATGGGCCAATAGAATTGCGCCATTTTTCAGTATAAGTCCACTGAGCTCATTTTCATTGGTCCACGAAGATGTCGTGGTAAAATCTTATTGGCCTTCAGTCAATCTACACTATCTACACAATTGCTCTGTTGCTTTACGCTTTACTCTCCGACACGTAGTGGCCGAAAACACTCGTAGCTTCCTCAGTGCCAGTCAGTTGCTGGAGAACACAGAGCATCGTTAGAGTTGAGGAGTGATGAAGAAAGTGCTCATCAATCAGTCAATCATTATTCAATTACCATGAATTATTTAATATATTTGACATTTGTGTGTATACTCTTGTCTGGTAAGAAAATTTCATATTAATTAAAAAGTTTTTTTTTTCATCTCCTGAAAGTACTCGAGATGTGCTAAATAATTTGATCATTATTATTTATTATTATTATATGTTGCACGGAGTAAAATGATCATATTTCAACTTTCGTTACAATTTAAGAATGTAGTAGAATTGTTAATTCTCTAATTTTTACATTTTGGGGTTAGTTTAATTATTTGTATAGGTTAATAATATTCACATTCAATAATAAAAGCTTTTTCTATGTGTGATAAAAAAGTTTCGACAAGTAGTTTTTATGCTAGTTATTGTTGAGTATATTCCAACAATCTAAAATTTATGGAGAATAATATTTCATATCGAAAATAGTATCTCGAAAACATCCTGATTTTTCTCATTTCTGATTTTTCTCTGGTGGCGGGCTAATTCCCTTGTTAATTTACGTGCATGAAAATGTATTCTTTTATTGGCGAATTTCATTCAGACTTGCAGCTTTTGTGGTGGCTAACCAAAGAGAGTTAGAAAGCTTTGCACAATTAACTGATTTAATATTAGAAGAGTGTAATTCCTCATGAATAAGCTCTCCCTTATGTCTTATGCTTTTCTCGAAGTAATTCAAATACTTTAGACTGACTGAAAAATAATTTTCATGTTTTGACAATTAAATTTCAGGAGTAGCTCGAGCCCAACTCGAAATAGATGAAGCGGATGATGTGCCCAGTGTTGAACAGAATCTGGGCTCGTCCCGCGAGGCTTCCCGTACCGATGACGAAGTTGTACAACGCGAGAGCGAAGCTATTAACATTGATGGGCTAAACCCTTCCCAAATACAAGAACTCCGCAATCGAGCCGAGAAGTTTACTTTCCAGACCGAAGTGAACAGAATGATGAAGTTGATTATCAACTCCCTTTACCGCAACAAGGAAATCTTCCTCAGAGAGTTGATCTCCAATGCATCGGACGCTCTTGACAAAATTCGTCTTCTTTCCCTGACCGACAAAAATGTTTTAGACACTAATCCAGAGCTTTCGATTCGAATCAAGGCAGATGCTGAAAACAAAATTCTCCATATTATAGATTCTGGTATCGGAATGACGAAGACAGATCTCATTAATAACTTGGGAACAATCGCCAAGTCGGGAACAGCTGAATTTTTAGGAAAAATGCAAGACACGAAAAATGCTCAGGAAATGAACGACATGATTGGGCAGTTTGGCGTAGGGTTTTACTCGGGATTCTTAGTTGCTAACAAAATTGTTGTCACAACGAAGCACAATGACGATAAACAATACATTTGGGAGTCTGATAGCAGTCGTTATAGTATTGTTGAAGATCCAAGAGGAGATACATTGAAACGAGGAACTATGATATCCTTGTATTTGAAAGATGAAGCCATTGATTTTCTTGAGCAGGACACTGTCAAGAATTTAATTCAAAAATACTCACAGTTTATTAATTTTCCAATCCATCTCTGGAGCAGCAAGACCATTCAGGTTGAGGATGTAGAAGCTGAGCAATCTGAAGAGAAAACCGAGCAACTTGAAGAGACTAAGGATAAAACAGAAGATGAAGACGTTGAGGTTTGTAAATATTTATTTTTTAACGAAAATTTTCTCAGGAACTAATCGTTTTACCAGTATTATGAAATTTTGTACGATGCATATGAAAAAATATATATATTTTCGGTTGAGTCTGATGACATCCCTTACCTTTGACTCGCCTGGCAACCCTTACACTCGTTAAATTGTATCTTTTGTCATTTGCATTATAATACACTATTTAATCGGGCTTAGCTCTCTCATACTCGGCAGAAACCTCAGCCAACACTTGTATAAAATATCATATTTCTCAAATTACTCGAGACTATGAAAGTTTTATGTTCAAAAAACAAAAAATTAGCGTGCATTGAAAAAGTTACGTAGAGGAATCCTCTTTGCTCATCTTGAAATTTCTTCAAACCACTATTCATTGCTATACAAACAATTCTATCCAATAATAATAACTTTTTTGATCAATTCAGGTGGAAGAGGCGCCCGAGAGCACCGAAAAGAAGAAGAAAATGATCTCGAAAACTGATTGGGATTGGGAACTCCTGAATAACTCAAAACCTATCTGGACTCTGAAATCTTCCGAGGTTCCCGATGACGATTACTTCCAATTCTATAAAACCCTTACTACAGATACGCAAGACCCTTTGGCGAAGGTCCACTTCATAGCTGAAGGAGAAGTATCCTTCAAGGCTCTTCTCTTCATGCCGAAAGTACAACCAAGTGACAGCTTTAACAAATACGGAACCAAGGTGGACAACATCAAGCTTTTCGTTCGCAGAGTCTTCATCACCGACAAAATCAATGACATGATGCCAAACTACCTTTCTTTTATTCGCGGAATCGTCGACTCGGACGATCTCCCGCTTAACGTCTCCAGAGAAAATCTCCAACAGCACAAACTAATCAAGGTGATCAAGAAAAAACTTATTCGAAAGGTTCTAGATATGATGAAAAAACTATCTAAAGAAGAATACGATGCGTTCTGGAAAGAGTACAGCACCAACGTCAAATTGGGAGTGATTGAAGATGCCCAAAATCGAGCAAGACTCTCGAAGCTCCTCCAATTTAAATCCTCAACGAACAATCTCACAAATCTAAATGAGTACGTCGCTAGAATGAAGCCAAATCAGAAAATGATCTTCTACATTGCTGGCAGCTCCGAGGATGAAGTGAAAAAGTCCCCGTTTGTTGAGAGATTAAACGAGAAGAAATATGAAGTTCTCTATCTTACTGAAGCTGTTGATGAATACGCTATTTCAGCCATTACTTTATTCGAAGGAAAAAAATTCCAGAATATTGCAAAGGAAGGATTCACCCTTGATGATACGGACAAGGGCAAAGAGAAAATGGAGAGATTGAAATCATCGTTTGAGCCACTCATTAAGTGGCTGAATAATATTTTGAGTGAACACATCAGTAAGGTGCTCATTTCTGAAAGATTAACTACATCTCCATGTGCGCTGGTAGCTAGTATGTTCGGCTGGACAGGAAATATGGAAAGGCTGGCAATCTCTAATGCACATCAGAAGGCTGATGATCCTCAAAAATCCTACTACTTGAATCAGAAGAAGACTTTGGAAATTAATCCTAGACATCCACTTATTAAGGAGTTGTTGAAACGAGTCGAGTCTGATGCAGATGATGCAACTGCAAAGGAAATTGCACTAATGATGTTCAATACTGCAACCCTCAGAAGTGGATACATGTTGAAAGAGACTGCTAGCTTTGGAGACAGTGTGGAGGCGTTGATGAGGAAGACTTTAGGGATTCCGTTGGATGAAGAGCCTGAGGAAGGAGAGGATGATGAGACTTTCAGTGGAGAACCAGAAGAAACTGGAACGGAAGAGGAGGTCGATGCTGAAGGAGAATTTAGTAAAGACGACGAACATGATGAGCTCTAAGAAATTAGAAGAATCGGGACTGATAGGATCGGCAGTAATAATATTGTCCAAGTTCAATTATTTTGGAGATGAGTACGACTATTAACCAGATTCTCATTTGTCAAAATAATTCATAATTGAGATATTTCATACTTGACGGATACTTAATTTTAGTTACAAGTAAGATGATCAAAAAGCAAATTTCAAAGTTCTGCTTTGTGGGCGAAAAAAACTAAGATTCTCCTTGACATTGTCTAGCGTGAATTCACTTGTCCGCGAAATAAATCATCAATAGTTTCGCTGATGAGCTCTTCGAAACATCAAAATTATTTCCAGCAGCATTTACTATATCAAATGTAGCCGAGTCCTACTTATTTTCCAGTCCATCTCCAGTTCAATTAACAAAATTGAAAATTGAAATAATGAGTTGAAATTCTACATTGTTCAATTTATTTTCAATTATTGAATTGAGTATTTTTTCACTTCGAATGCTCAAATTGACTTGGTGAGAGTCCATTTCTAGAAGGTACCGACTTCAGAAAACATGAAGGGGGAAATCTTCCATTCTCAGTGAATATTAATTTGTTATGAATGTATGAGAGTTGTGCATAAGTGCTATTGTAATTTATATCAAATGGATTAAAAAAGAGTACTGAAAAGTGAAATTGATCCTCTTTTTTGTCAAACGTTATGCAGTTGATCTGAACTTTCTTTTTTTAGTCCATAATATTCCAAAATTTTGCAGAAAATTCATGAAAAATCCATAATTTACAGTCAATATCGGACATCAATACTGCCGTCATAAGACAGAGAGGAGGGAGGATAATACGTTTGAAATAGTCATTTTCGTATTTTATGTGATGAATAAACCACTAAACAATGGAAATTGTATCATTGTGAGGAATTTTTAATTACGGTTCCATATGAGACCATATATTACTGGACTTAACAAGATTCTAAATATTGACGCACGGAGCAAAGATAAAATGAAGGATTGCAAAAGAGAAAAACACTCTAGTAAGCTCATCCGGTCCGACGAGAGGATTTCTATCGCAACATCTTACATATCTCCATCCTCTCATATTTTCTTAATTTTTTTACATCCTTTCAATTATTGATCATCCAATAATTAATCGTGATCCTGGAGATCAGCAGCCAACTCCCAGTACTAGATTAAGCAGCATATCGGACATCAGATTTAATGGTCTCTCATTTAGTTCCGTAGCCGCCGCTACGACATTCGCTGTTGAACCTTTACCATAAGCGCTGCTCATCTCTCCCATCTCCCCTCTGAGCTCTACTAGCTGCTAACATACCTCATGATCGTGTTGCGGAATTAGCGAGTTTCTATATTCCCATAATTGTAAAAAATCGATTCTCATTCGAGTTCGATTCGACATCGCTTTGAGATTATCGCAAGTTCTTCATTGACTAATGACGAAATAATAGAGGTAATAGGGATAGGAAAGGAAAAAGAAGATCCTCTTTAATTAGACCTCAAACCACCTATTATCAATGCAGTCTCGAAATCATCAATCGATTGAGAAAAAGTGGAATTAAAGTTCTTGGAGATTTTCAAAATGTTTTCTAGCAAAAACAGGACGAAATCTACATTATTATCCGGAACCCATGATCTCACTGAGTTGTTTACTTTCGAGGTAATTGCAACAAGTAATTTTGGTATTAATGTATATGAAGTACAGACAGTGTAGAAAAACCACATTTTTCGAAAAACTGTGGTATAGTTTTTTTTTATCCTTCTTGCCTTGAGGTTTATCACAAAATTATTGAATTAAGTATTATTTGAATAACCCGGCGGATGTTTTTCATGGGATTTTTTTTTTACTATTCAATGATTATGGCAAAGAAAATTTTTCGCAAGATATATCATCAGGATCATTTTTTGAGAAAAATTATCATAAGTTCATCTGGTCTTCGGTTCGATATCTTAATTTTATTGATAGGTAGCAATGTACTGGGCCCTAGAAGGTCGACATGTTTTCTACATTACACCAACTCCTCTGGAGTCGATACCAGCGAAATATCATGACAGAAACAGCCTTGTCGTTGAATCATTTCAAATGGTACAATTTATGTAAGTATAAACTCATTATTATACATTATATCCTTATTTCTGAAGAACTACAGCTGTTGAATTCGATATTCGTGTCGGCGTGCATAACTCTTAAGTATTCGACATCCTTTTAATAAAAATTTACGTTTTGTTTATTTTGCTGACAAGTTATCGATGGGATTGGCATTATTTTATAGCTCACGTAATTTCGTGATGGTACGATCAATTCAATGCGTTTTCTCTAGTTTCGTGATTCTTTTCGAAATTATAGAAGAAACGTAAGAAAATGTTTGCGCTACTTTGAAACTTCGCGAGTCAATAAATAATGACAAAACACACAAACGTTATATTTTTTGACATATTTATGACCCAAAAAAATAATTTTGTGTAAGATTCCAGATGTTTATCTTGATTCTCTGATTTTTATTAATTAAAAAGTGTGTTGTTTGATAGGTCAGTTGGGAGAGAATAAAAATTTTCAGTTTTTATTTTTTTCAAAGTGTTATAGGCAGAACATTGACATTTTTTTCCCTTAATTTGAAGGGAATTGAGATTACAACCATCTCAAATTTCCTCAGGGTAGTTGAAAAATCTAGTCAAAATTAATTTTGAAGAAAAAGATTAAGTGATACAAAATATAATTTAGCGAGGAAAAAATATTACCGCTTTAAATTTTGGGAATTTTTGATGATTTTTAAGATGATTTTTAGAATGCGAAAAAAAAATAAAACTGAGAGGATACGTTTTTTAATTTATAAAAATGCGGGAATCAAGATAAAAGTCTGAAATTTTCGCCAGAATTATCTTTTTGGGTCATAAATTTGGCACCTTGAAAGTCGCTCGAGGCAGATTTACCATGCCTACCCAGCTAGACCCTTTGCTAATAATTTCGAGGGCTTTCAACGACGTCCAAGGAATATAAAAAAAATCGTCCGTCGTTTCTCAATATGAAATAAAAAAAAAAACAATTATAATGAATGAATATTTTTTTATTATCAAGTTTGGCTTGTATGAGGACCCGTATTTTTAACATTGAAACATGTCCATGTTTGAATTTGCTAAATGCATCGCTTGTCAGAAATATATCTATTTTAATTTTTTCAAGGTACCTGAAGGATTATGAAGCCTTAATTAGCGTTCTTGTTGGTTTTCATTCTCATCATATTCGTCCAGAAGTGCTTTTAATCGATAAACTGGATACCTATATCAGACATCCAAAAGTAACTGGACAAATGCTGCATACTCACATTGCAAAATTATGTGCAATCCTTCACGATACAATGAACGCCTGTTCCAACATGTCGAAATCTCAATGGGAATTTCATCTGCTGGCTTCAGTTACTCCACAGAACTTGACGAAATCATGCTATCATTTGTATTTCGATCAAATTTGGAAATTAGGCCGAGAGAATCATAAATCATTCCACCTGATTCGTTCAGGGAATTCTCTTGAACTTCGAGAAGTGTTTGAATATCAGAAATTCAATGATGGGACTTTAATTTTACAAAAAATACTGCAAAAACTAGACAATACTTGACGATTCAGTATAGATTGTTTAAAATTGCTATTTTTTCAATGAAATTAATTATAAGAATATATAAAATACATAATAAAAATATGATAAACACAGACATGAAATCTTGGGGCATATTTTGTTTATAATTTGATAGCCGTAAAGGCGTGTTGATGGTAAAATACAAAGTAAACCAATAATTTTTTATTGCAGTTTTTGCACTTCGTTTTACTAGTGTTCACCGACAGGTGATTATGAATAAAAGCTTGGAATAATTAATTATCATATTTTAGCTTGGTGTCCAACTCTATCATGTCTTCTTCTACATGGTGATGAATATAATTTCTCAACTAGTTGATTGATTTCAAGTATCATGAAGAAAGGAGATTCGGACAAGCTAGTAAAAAGATTTTCATAACTTTTTACGATCATACTGTAGATAATGAAAAATATAATTAAAAAATTTCTCCAATGAATATGCACTATTTTTTTATATTTTTGAGTTTTTTTATTGACTTAGTGAAAAGTGTTTTGACATTTTATTTAGCACTGAACCTTCCTTCTGAACGAGCATCCCTCGGTGAGACGAGCTTTGCCTCCTGTTGGAGTACAGAGAATGGTGCGGCAACCATCGCACTCTACGGGCCTCTGAGCGTGCGAAAAAATGGTCTTAATCGCGTAGCATCCGGGGCATTTGACATCCATGAAATAACTGTTTGGCTTTTGTACCAGACGCTTCAATTTGTGCTTCCTCTTCTCCTCAGCTGGACTAGGATGCAGAAAATCTTTCGCCAATGGCATTCTACAACCAACAATCAAATAAACTAATCAATTATCCACACATGTGAATGGAGTGAATTATTCTAGCAACTAGTCAAATTTTTAAGAAATTAAGCAAGAGTGTGCCCTTATTTCATCTCCTTTTTTGGAGAGACAAAACTCCATTACCAATATCACAAGAACAATTTATCAAATTCTGGACGACAATCAGGAAAGACTGGAAAAGATTTCTATTCAACATCCTCCTCAAATAATCAGCATGAAAAGAATCGGTTCATTAAAGCGATAATACGACTATTTCAAAACTTGGATAAGTTTAAAACTATGAAAAGACATAAATAAAATGAAGCATTCTACTTTATTCATCGCCATCAGAAAATTCATCTTTGGTTGAAAGATGACTGTCCCATGGAATGTGAATGATTAACCAGTCATGGGTCGAGGAAAAAAAAAAGAATATCGAAGACAAAAACGAATTTCCATTCTCTACTTGTTTTACCCGAAAATTTAAGAAAGAAAATTGTTCAAAATTTCATGATACTGCTGTTTAGGTTATGTTTATAATCCCTCGGTTTGAGAGTCCAAATCGGCTGTGAATATCAAACAGATAAATTTTTGGTAAGGCAGAGAAATTAAATGTTAAAAAAACAATAAAACGATCAACCATAGGTAAACAATACCGATATAATTCGAAAAAACATAGCGACGTCTCTCTTGAATGCCAGGCGTCCCTAAATGGAATGTCAAGTGACGTATCATCAAATGGGCTCTCAAAATATGTCGAAATAAAATTAATAAATATTAAAAAATAGTTTCTATATGATGCTGACCTGTTTAGCTCAGTAATTCACTTGAAAATTGTAAACTACAACTTTCGCCACGTGTTTACAGCACGACGGGACAACTGGAAAAGGATGAACGTGAGTAAGGCCTTCAACAGGTTAGGCAATTTTATATTTTCAAATATCTCTAGGAAAATCACTATAATATCCCTAGCAGACATACCTTTTATTTGAAAATTTATCTCAAACTATTTTTTTTTTCCAAGTTCATACAGTGGGATAATAAAGCAAAAAAAAATGTTCATTATTAATTATAGATAAAATAAATAATAAATATATAATAAAATTTATATTTTGGACTTATTACAGGGCCCAAGAGTCATCGTCCTCGTTTAAATTCAGAGATCTACACGCTGACGGTAAATAATTGAAACGTAATTGTCAGCGGTGATTATTGGGTACAGTAAAAGTTGAAAATAAAAAGTATCATGTGCAAAGGGATTCAGTGAAGCTGAATTCGGCACGATTCCGATTACTTTGGCGCCACAGTCTGGTGGTGGTTTCCCGTAGTATTTTGTCTCAGGAATTCGGGAAAAATAATAAAAAAAAATCGATCTCTATTATTTATAGTAGTTTTCGATTTTTTAATGGAAAAATTTCAAATAATACCAACTTATATCCTACAATGTTGGGACGTTGGGGATTGGGGGTGGAGAGTGGCGGGAGGGGGGGAGAGGGCTATTCAGCCTTGTCAATAACCAAAATAATTTTAAAAATGTGGAAAATTTTGAGTAGAAATGTTCATTTTTAATTTCAAATTCAAGTTGTGAAAATATTATTATTCATACATTTCAGCTGTATAAACTAGAATTATACAGAGGAAGCAATAAATATTAATGTTCACATGTTCTAATTTTGTTATTTTTTTGCTAAAAATGAACTATTTGTTGTTGTTTTTGTTTAATTACATAGTTAATTACTTCTGTGATTTTTTCCCAAATTATTATCTTTAATGATAAAGCCAATTTTAATTCTTGACTGGGGGGGCTTCGCCCTGGAGAGCCCCTGGACCCCGCAAGGGGCTCTGCCCCTGGACCCCGCTTTTTTTATGCCTTCAAATCTACATGTTTATTAGCACAAAAAAAAAGAGATGTGAGGGGGGAACTTGGCTAGTTTTTGGCTTTATCTTCAGACTGTTTTGGCGTTACCCAGAATGCACCACGTGGAGGTAAAGTCTGTTTGTTTGAACAAGCCCTCCAAATGAGGTAAATATAGAAAAATGAGCAAACTTTGGATGCAACTGAGGATGAGAGGATGTGTTAGACATTTTAACACTTTTAATTCACTTGAAAATCACAAAAAAAACTCTAATTTGCTTCGCTGCCTGATTAACACGCTTTGAAAAACAAAGGAGCATGAAGAAAAACAATGGCGGCAAGATTTCATTCGAATTTATATAATTCGTGAAAAATCCGCTAGATGGTGTAAAGGTTGAAAAAAGGCTAGAAAAATTTTCATATAATATGATATTATAGATTTAGATTTATTCAGTAATATATAAAATATAAACCATATTTTTCAAAAAAAAGCGGTCCATTTTGCCCCTTTTTCCCTCTATATCTCGAAATACAGTGTAGAGGGAATTTTTTCATTATTTTTCTCGAACTCGCGAGACAAAATAATTCAGAAAACAACCGTTAAATCGCGGCGCCAAAGTAATCGGAATTGTGCCCTGAATTCCCATAAGCCTTTTACTACTTTGACATTGGTCAATTTGTTAACTTTGTCTGATTCGGTCAGTATATAGGGGCTTCAATCAGTGATGCCCACTGATCTCTATATACATCGTAACTTACTAACTAAATTCAACAATTAAAATCAACTACTTGTTCAACCCGTTGAAGCAACATAACTAAACACGTACATCAACCCTATATCTATTGTAAATTATTGTATAAACCGCATTAAGATTGACCACGCGTTTTAAATGAATTTATAATCGTTATTAAAAATATTAAAAATATGGAAAAAAATTCCGAAGAAGTGTGACATACAAAAAGAAGCTAAACATCGAAGGCCTACGGTTGCAATTAATCATTGGTATGAGCTTAGCCCAGAATTGCATCAACATTCATTCATTTATAGCGCCGGTCCAAGTTCAGAAGTCGAGCTTGATTTAAGTTTGGATAGCAACATAAAACCACGCTGGTCTGAGCCTGGACCAAACTAGGACCAACCTTGATCCAAGCTTGAAAACCAAGTCGAATCCGAGCTTAACCCCTCTTATAATTAATCAACCCCTTTCCTGCACATCAACAATTAATCATTTCATTCCTTTATTGGTTCAGTGTTCAACGTCAAATACTTTAATTTTCTTCTCGGCTTGGCTAAGCCTCAAACTTCGAACCCCTGCATCCAAGCCTGAATGGTCAAGTTTGAATCAGGCAGACCAGAGCTGAGGTTGAGTGGAGTCTGTTGGCACTTGAAACAACTAATTCTGATGGGAGTATTCTTGAAGACAATTCCCGAGGTGGCCCATCAGGCCCGACGTAAGCTGTAAAAACCGTCGAAGAACTCTTAGTTACTTGTGTTGCGGAACACAATGTTCCGATTTGTTTCGTGAATCATTTCATCACGGTTATTAAAAAAGTATTTCGATTATTTTACTACCATTATCGAAAATATTTTGGCCAAGGCGAGAACGAAAATTTAATCAAAATTTTCTATTTTAGTTGATGAACGGACAGATATTTCAAAAAAGAAAAGTTTATGTGTTCTCGGGAGATATGTCTTACTTGAAACCGGATAGTTCAAAACAGAATTTTAGGTCGATCTTGATGCAAGGGATTGCTCAGCGGGAAGCATTTATAATTGTTTTAAAGAATGTTTGCCACAAAAACGAATTTTCAGCATGTGCAATTCCTTCTCGCAAATATTAAAATTAGACGTGCCAAATCTTATTCAAATACATTGCATTTGCCACTCATCTACCATTGTAGCTTCAAAAGCATGTAGTAATTTGTCGAACAAATCGGAGGACTTAATTCGAGGAATTTCGATGTATTTCTCGAACAGTCCAAAGCGTCGCATGATTTTAGAAGAGTATCAAGAATTTTTTAACGAACAAAGATTGAAAATTTTCAGTCTTTCGAACATGCGGTGGGTATGTTTACATCAATGTGTTACTCGTATTCTTTTAAATTGGAAACTCCTGAAATTGTTTTTTTTTCGTCACCCATGCTGGAAGAGCACTCACAATCAGTACGGAAGCTTTATGAATTGCTAGATGATCAATGTGTCTAGGCATAGAGTATATACTCATAGAGTAGTTTAATTTCCTTCGGCCCTGTCACGGTTACTTCTTTCATCATCTCTCTATTTTGACTATGCACGTGAAAATCTATTTTTTAGAATTTTTCGTCATTCGATGTCAATCCTTGGAAGCCGCTATTATTGCATTCCATTTTTTCTCAGCATTTTTAAAAATATTTTTAACTGTTCTGGGTAATATCACCCCAAGTTTGCAATTTAAAAAGAGTTTTATTCCAGATTTCGCCTGCCATTTTTTGTATCCTATATCATAAGATAACGCTCCAGTAAAATGTTTAGCGATGAAAAACTTCTTTGACTGAGTTATAATTTATTGCAATAAGAAAATTAATAACTATTGTTCTGACTCATCCAGGCTGGGAAAAATTTAACTGAGTGTATTTTGCATTAAAGTCTATCTGCATGTAAATTTTCATCAAAATTTCATCGTTGCTTCGATATACCGGAGTACTACCTTAATAACTTCGAGTAATTTATAAAAATGAGCTAAAATTTTAGCAGTAATGAAAGTCAGACGACGCAATTTCCCTTCTCTCAAGTTGACGATCATCCCACTTTCAATTTCTTCATTAATTGTTAAAATT